GGCGTAACCAAATTCTATGGCTTCTACGGCATAGAAGCATCCCCAGCGAATTGTGTTTACTTGAATATTTACTGAGGGCTCCTGCTGCCTTCAAACTGCTGCCAGGACCAATTTCGAAAGTGTACTGAACTCCATCGCCGGCTAGGACAAGGTCAAAGTTATTCCGAGTGTTCTGAGATGATTCTACAACTAAAGTTGCAGCAGAATAGATACGCTGGCGCTATCTACATTGTATGTTATGGTCAGGTTATCATTGAGCCTTAAGCCAGCTTCTATCATGGCCTTTGGCTTCACTTCATAAACGTTCAATCGTCCGCGAATGTCCTTCGCCAGGACGCCACCTGAACCCCTTCCCACACGGCGAGGCCACAAGGCTTATTGATCCCACTTTGGGTTTTCTCAATTCGTTCATCATCACTATTGGTAGCCCACCCGATGCCCCGCTCATCGAAAAGACCCACAAGGTGTGTGTCGTCTGGTGCGTCATCGTAGACGATAGCGCTGAATCTCCCATTGCTCCGTCCGTGGACGTTGATACACACAGCCTTGCGCCCAGAGGGATAGTAACTGACCAGGAGCAAACCGTGCACATGGGATATGCAATATTAACATCAGAAGTTGTTATGTTCGAGATCTCATAATAAAAGCTGTGAATCAGGATATAGCAAAACGGTTTCTGTAACAGAGGCGCTCCATAAACTTGACAAGATAGAAAGATCCACGTTCGATTGAAAAAGCCGTACGCGATGACTTCCCTGAGCTCGAACGGAGCGATAGATGAAGCTACCCGAAGCCAGAGCCATCAGTCTGTCTGAGTACTGCGGGACCGCCAAAAGGGTACTTCAATACTACAGCATCATAGACGGGCAGGTGTTGATGTGAAGTACCTGTAGATGCCCCTCGGTTGGTCTTAGGTAGGACCATAGACGACGATGACCAATACCACAGCCCTCTTAATTGCACTGTTGAACTCAAAAGGGATTTGCTTGACGTCATGTAGTAGCAACGCGCTACTCTTAGGTCTCAGAATCCTATCGGTAATCGTCCCTTTTAACTGTCATTGATTGCTCAACGTCACACGAGCTTTTACAGGGCGGGGACGGTCGGGCTCGTTCGCAATGACGCAGAGACTGTTGAAGGTTGATAATAATCCCTTGTTAATCGAGGCTTTCAATTGCGCAAATACTCTGGCTCACCTCTCGAATCAGGATCCACATACGTCTCCAGAGCTGGTACTGAGTCATTCTTATTGACAGACACGCCCTAAGGTGGGGCTTGAAGTTCGAGCGGTCGACCTAGGCGCGTACCCCACTTCGAGGCTGAATCACAGGTCAAGCCTTGACCGTCAAGGGAAGGAGCTGTATCCCTTCCGACGCGCTGAAGTGTGGGGCCTCGAACAGCAGGTCTACCTGTCTTTTTTCTGGACTTGACCGCATCGGAGGCGTCGCTGGGTTTAATCTCACTGACAACTCACCACAATCCACGTAGGTACATAGGAGACCCCCGCAGCTGAGCTGGTCAGAAAACTTCAATGTCTTGTGTCAAGACTCTTGCCAGTCATAGAACCAGTATTGAGTCAATACTATTGATATCTTCACGGGTGCCCAAGACTTCGAATTAACAATTCAGAATTATATTCAATTCAGAGCAATTCAGAATGGAGATTGTGAAGAATCTCCCAACCTCGCCGCTGCCCTATCATTGATGCAACGAGCTGTTAGTTATTAACGTCAGATAGAGCTGAACTCCTTGTAGATGATCGAGTCTATTTTGCGGAAGTTTTACATGACCAATGCAATGCCATGATCGTTTCACATGTGAAAGAGATGTATAACTTCCTCTGATTTGATCATCTGGGGTTATGGCTCATCACCGAGGTGGAGATTTGGGGTGATGATCACCTCAAATCTCAACTCCTTGGTAAAGTTCCAACCGCTATAATAGCTATCGGATAAAGGCCACCATTGGCCACCCATCTAACTCGTCCCGGCTCCAACCGTCATTGCATTCAAGGAGCAGACAATCACAATGCCAGTCGTGCGGACATTCGCGATTCGAGTAGGAATAAGCACCAAGCCCCCAATTGTTGAAAGTCGGATTATCTTACCTGATATTCCGGCTTTGTCGTGACGACACTGTCGTCTAGGCGCAGAATCCCTAT